CAGTTTTAACATACATACAGATTCATGTTACTTTACCATAATCTGAATATAGAATAGCTCCCTCACATTTCCTCCATGGAGTCAGTTCCTCCCTCCCACCTAACTCCTGGTACACACTGATCTTTTTTCTGTTGCTTTAGTTTTGCATTTTCTGGGATGACATAGATATGTGTTATAAATGGAATCACACAATATGTAACCTTTTGAGATTGACTTCCTTCACTCAACATAATGCCTTTGAGGTCCATCTGTGTTTTGCATGTGTCAATAATTTTTTCTTCCTTATTTCTGAGCATTATTCCATCAAATGGATGTCATACAGCTGTCCTACAGTTTGTTCATTTGTTGGAAGAAAATGAGTTGTTTATAGTTTTTGGAGATTATGAATAGAGCTGAGATGCACATTTGTATACAGGTTTTTGTGTGAACGTACATTTTCATTTCTCTGGGATAAATGCCTATGAGTGAGATTGTAGGGTCACATGATATGTGTATGTTTAACTTTATAGGAAACTGCTAAACTGTTTGATACAGTGGCTGTACCGTTTTTTATTCCCACCAGCAAAGATTAAATTTCTAGTTGATTAGCTTCCTTGTCAGCACTTAGTATTGTCAAGTTTTTTGTTTGTTTTCCCATCTTCTGTGGTAGCTCAATGTAGTTTTAATTTACATTCCACTAATGGATAATAATGTTAAGTATCTTTCATATGCTTATTTTCCATCTATATATACTCTTTGGTGAAGTGTATGCCCAAGTCTTTTTTTTTTTTTTTTTTTTAACATCTTTATTGGGGTATAATTGCTTTACAATGGTGTGTTAGTTTCTGCCCCATAACAAAGCGAATCAGTCATACATAAACATATTGCCCAAGTCTTTTGCTCATTTTTAAAATTAGGTTGTTTTTTTCCTTATTGTTCCTTACTGTTTAGTTTTGAGGGTTTTTTACATAGTCTGGTTACAAGTCTTTTGTTGTATATAACATTTCCAAGTCTTTTTCTCCTGGTCTGGACCTTATCTTTTCTTTCTCTTAATTGTCTTACACAGAGTGGAAGTTTTAAATTTTAATGAAGTCAAATTTATCATTTTTTTCTTTTGTGGGTTGTACATTTAATGTCATATTTAAAAGCCTTTGACTTACTCCAGGTTACAAAGATTTTCTTCTATGTGTTCTTAAAAATTTTAAAGATTTTTTTTTATAGTTCTATGCTTTACATCTAGACCTATGACTGATTTTGAACTAATTTTTTATGAAGTTGGAAGGGTTTTGCCTATAGACATCCAGTTGTCTTAACACCATTTGTTGAAAAGACAGTGCTTTCTCCAGTAAATTGCCTTTCCGCCTTTGTCAAAAATCAATTGGAGGGGACTTTTCTGGTGGTCCAGTGGTTAAGAATCTACACTACCAATGCAGGGGCATGGCTTCAATTTCTGGCCGGGGAACTAAGATCCCATATGCCATGTGGTGAGGCCAAAAAAAAAATATATATATATATATATATAGAGAGAGAGAGCACATATTTATGTGGGTCTATTTCTGACTCTGTCTTCTGTTCCATTGATCTACATGTCTCTCTCTTCACCAACACAGCACTGTCTTGGTTATGATAGCTTTATTATAATAAGTGTTAAAACAAGGTAGTGTGGGTCCTTCAAATTTATTTTTTTTCAAACTTGTTTTAATTATTTTAATTTCTTTGTCTTTCGATATAAATTTTAGAATCATTTCTCTTATTGGAATTGCATTGGATCTATAGATCCCATTCATAATAAAATATGTGGAACAAACTTTAAGATTGTAAAACCTAATGATATAATGGGCACATATGAACCAACCAGTCAATCAAAGAAGTGGAACATTAAAACTTGCATCTATTTCTGTGCTTTCCCTCTACCTTGTATCCATAACTACTTTTTCCTTTGATGCAGCTAATTACTCAAGGGCAGACATTCCTATCTGTTGAATTCTTAGGTCTTCTGAATCACCTTACCTTCCACTTGTGATTTGGCTGTTAGAATTTTACTTCTTATGATGGCCTCTTCTAAAAAATGTCGAGAGTACAAGAGGAGATAAACTTCATACTACTTCAAAAAACCATATTTTTTAGTTGATACTATGTTGAACTAATTTTTCAAGTTAAATATTAGGTTAAAAGAGGTTTAAATTTTAATCTTAAATAAAGTAATGGAATTGAAATAAGTAATTAATACAATTATTCAATCATTTATTACTTCTAAAGTTCCATAGGAATGTACCAGTACCTTTCTTATGGCACCTATAATTCTCTACATTGCATCACATTTATTTATGTGTATATCAGATTTAGTTTCCTCCATTTTATTAAAATATAATTGTCATTAAACATTGTATTAGTTTAAGGTGTACAACATAATTATTTGACTATGTATATATTGAAAAATTATTACCACAATGGTTTTAGTTAACATCCATCACCTCACATAGTTACAATTTTTTCTTTCTTGTGATGAGAAATTTTAAGATCTATTCTCTTAGCAACTTTCAAATATACAATATAGTATACTTAACTATAGTTACCATATTGCACATTAATCCCCAGGATTTATTTATCTTGTAAAACACCCTCACCCATTTCCCCCTCCAGCTCCTACCTCTGGCAACCACCAATCTGTGCTTCACTTCTCAAACCTAGAGCAAAACCTCTCTCTGTATTGCAGTAGTGCTTCATACCAAGTCTGCCACTCAGTTAATTTCGAACAAATGAGTGAAGTATATTTTTACCTCTGTCAATATCATCCCAGAGTTCAGTTGAATTGTTTTGCCATTTCTTTGAGATTGTATTATGTAGCTTTTGAACAAGGACTAAAGATGTAAACAAAGATCATGAAAATTAGTCTGGAGAAATGAAGCAGCAGATATTTCTAGACCCAACTCATTGTGTTAATGACCACCTAAGTCTCAGTACTGTAGTCAGTTGGATTTTTGTCTTTCCTTTCCAGCTGAATGCTTCCAAGAAACCTTGAGCAGGGAGGTAAAGAATAAATGGAAGGGTAAACTATTAGGTTGTGAAAACATTGCATTCCCCCAACTGGGGCACTCAGTAAGTGGTCAGCCACAGGAAACCTACACCACAGAATATAGTTCCATTTCTTTTATTTGGTGAGAGGCCTATTTATGAGTTAAGGTGGGATGAAGGTATTCAGTGCAAAATCTGTATGAGATGACTAAGTATTAACCAGTAGAATATATCCTTAGAATTACTTCTTTTCATTCAAATATTTACTAATATAAAATTCTGATGTGTGTAGCGTTAGTGTCATTCATTATCACAAGCAGGAAGGGTTTAGCTGTGTATTTGTGTATTAACTTTTACAATGCTAAAATTTAATATTTATAATGTTGCACTTCATTCATCCATTTAAAAACACTTACTGAGTGCCTAGGCCTTCTTTTGGACTCTAGGAATACAGCAATGAAGCACACATACAGGTCATATTCTAAATTTCATAACCAGATGACGTATATAACAATTAATTTTCTTTGAAATTTATCTAAAACAAATTATTTCTATTTTGGGGAAAATTCTCCATATATTATCATTGTATTATAAATGTATTTGAATCTCTATTTTGATTTTAAATAAGAAGTATATAAGATTCCTAAGAAATCTAACTTAATAAACTAAACTGATACATAATTTTTTAGCAGTTGTAATAATTCATATTATAAATATATTTGAAATCTATTTAGTTTGCTTTCATGACAAGATAATATTTTCATTGACATAACATAATCTTTAATGTTTTATCACTGTCTTGCTCAAGATTCCTGAGTCTTAGGCCATAGGATATTGTGATGTAATCTAAGATTGTCCTAATATCGCTCTAAATCTGTATGTATATTAAACATTGGCAGTAGGCTTAATTAGCTTTCATTAAATACTTCAGCTTTTCAGTGTATAATTCTGTACTGCAAGATCATATACATGTGCCACAAATTTTACCAATTTTAGTCAGGCACTTTCTTAATTAACAGATATTTAAAGTTTATTTTTAAATAAATTTATTTATTTTATTTATTTAATTTTGGCTGTGTTGGGTCTTCGTTGCTGCATACGGGCTTCTCATTGTGGTGGCTTCTCTTGCTGCAGTGCACGGGCTCTAGCGTGCAGGCTCAGTAGTTGTGGCACACAGGCTTAGTTGCTCCGCGGCATGTGGGATCTTCTCGGACCAGGTATTGAACCCGTGTCCCCTGCATTGGCAGGCAGATTCTCAACCACTGCGCCACCAGGGAAGCCCTAAAGTTTAATTTTTAGCAGAGATAGTCTAGAATATTTTGACATGAAACTGGTTCTTGTGTCTTGAAAATAACTCGATCATAAAGCCACTAGGGGGCTCACATACCATGTGTGTAAATCATGTGGCATCAGACGTCCACATAACACTTCTGGGCTCTTAAAAGCGCATGATAGCTGGGGCAATAATATCACATTCAGTAGTTTTGTGTGGTAGGTTAAAAAGTAACATTCTTAACACAAAAGGTAAGGGCACAGTAACAGAAGATTCTAGGAAATACATTAAACAGGTGTAACTTAGGGAAATTAGCAACGAGGGGTCAAAAATTGAAACTGGAGAAATGTTAAAGTCTGGTTGGTATCAATCCCTGTGAACACCCATTCTGACTGGACTTGCTGTTGCTACAGGAGCATAAGCTCTAGCTGTCAACCCTAGAGTCCTAGTGTTGGACAGAATTACTTTTGCACAAATTACATTATCTGGTATTATTTCAGTTGTCTCTTGTAATTGAGAAGACTTATTTGTAATCAATTTAAAAAGTCTTTAGCCTGTTCATTTTCTTTAGTGTAAGGTTGTATCAATATTCTTTCATTTTCTAAAGAAAGAATCTTGAAAACCAATTCGAGTCCTTTCTTACATAATTCCAATTCAGGTGTTTCTAGCAAAGTGGATGCTTAAATATTTTATGAATTCCATCTATTTTTATTTTGTTTTGTTTTCAATCCAGGGACAATTCAGCATTAATTTGGCTGGAACTGGAATGAAGATATCCAGTACAGCAAAGTGGCTTGCTCAGGGCAGTTATGCCTCTGTCATCATTCACAGATCACAAGTAAGTCCTGCTGGACCAAAAAATCTGTCTGAAATACTTCTGTGCTGTGAACTAGCATTAAAGGTCCTCTACTTTAAATTTAGAGTTATATGAAGTTAATGACTAATGCGTTATTGCATATGATGGACTATATTACATATAATGAAATATAACATTAATTTATGAAATTATGGAATTGGGTTCATTTTTATTCATGTGCTTATGTAGGTTTTATATACATACACATTCATGTTTAGCCTACATATATCTGAACATGAAATCAAATGCCAGAGCATATAGATTGAAGTAGCTCAAGTTTGGGGTTGATGGCTTGAAATGCAGGTACTTCAAAAAGAGGTAGTGCTTTTAGCTATATTCTAATTATTAAAGGTTTGTAGGTTTTAATATTTCAAAGTGAGAGGTAACTTTTTGGTTTATTTACCTCACTACTTTGATTTAGTGATGGAGCTGAGGTTGGAGCCATTTGTCATTTAACAAATATCCTTTATAGGTTCTTCAAGAATTAGGAATATTTTTTATGGTTGTATGCATATTTTCCTCTGTCTACCTTTATCTAGAGAACATTGGTATTTGGTTTTTACCTATAGCACATGTATCATCTAAAGTAGAATCCATTTAATTTTGATGCTGGTATGGGGTACTAGCACATACTCTTTATGAGATGGCTCCTAGTACTTGGAGCTCCCATGTCTTAGATAACATGATTCTATCTATAGTAAATCAGGATCTACATTATAAGTGTCCTCACCTATATTGCACATAAATCAGCACCATCAACAACCCCCTGCCCGCTCTAAGGTTTTATCATTTTTCTTTCTTTTGATAAAAGTGACTTCTGTTACACTCCTATTTATATGAATACTACTTATAAATGAAATTCAATTTTCTAATAATCAGAGACTAAAACATTATCTTTCTGAATATTATGAAATTGTGTTTCAATTTATAATTAAAGAATTTAAATTTTTATTATTTCTATCATATGGGCAAGCAGTAGGCTTTTTAAAAATGGCTATTTCTAAATATTTATTTGGCAAATTTTGGTCTAATCCCTTTTGGTAGAAGAATGGAAATAAATTAATTACCTAGTTAAAGTATATTCCGAGCAAGTAGAAAATGTAGAGAGTGCAATGAGATATTCTGACTTTATACAGCTTTTAGGTATCTTTTGGTTAAATGAGATCTGGCTGAGGGCAGCAGTAAAAATGAATATTTAGTACAATCATTACTTTTGCTTCTATTTAAGTTCTATTCTAAAGATTATTTGTTTGTCTATTTAATTGAGAGTTTCTCCCTCAATCAAAAATTTTGCACATGAAGGTATTTCCTGAGATCTATTGCCTGGTGTGAAAATGAGACTTGTGAAACCCAAATGTACTTATGGAAATGCACACATATTTTCATTTCCCATTAAATTTAAGCAAGATTAGGGGTTTACTTATATGATCCGTTTGCGAACAGGAATGTATATAAATTGGAATTTTTACTGCCATTCCTTTCTCTGTTTACTCAGACTCTCTAGAGTTTAGAAAGCTTTTGAAAGGAGAGGCAACTTCAAAAGCCCCCAATCTCAAAATATTCTTCATCCTCAAAAGTTCCAGGAACCCAAAGTTTCCTTCTCTACCCTCCTTCCTTAGATTAAAAAAACAAAAACAAAGCAAAACTTACCTTTTCTAGAAACTACAGGAGTTCAAGCTATTTTTGCTTTATCCTATCAAAATGCCTTTTGACTTTTGGACCTAAAGATGGAAGACAGTTTGGAAAGAAAATCTAGCATGTCCTGACCACCTTCTTCACCAGCCATTCCTCAGTAAGCAGCTCTGCTTTCCTAAAAAAAAGAAGAATCTCCCTTTTTAGTCCTTGTCTAATTATAATTCCTGCTTTCAGTCCAGTTTTATTCCCTGCCCCCCCCATTTTATCACCTTCTAAATATTTTCTTCAGGCTGTGTTTCTAATGCTTCCAGGAGATATTTGAGGTTAATATGACTTGGATTCAGTTAAGGTCAAGTTTGCATACTATCTTTTTTTTAGTCTGTGAGAATCTTATATAAAATCATGGCAATGCTGGACAACAGATTGGGAGAGGTTTTAATAAACTCACTGAAGCAAATAGATATCTTGTTGAAAAATAAGTGGGTTGAGATGAATTGTCTAAATTAGAGTGTGGTTTATAATCATTAAGTAGATAATATGAATCTCACATTATCTAATTCCCATGACCACAAATTTCAACTAATCCTGAAATGGCATGACCTTTGACCTCAAGTGTAATTGTTGTATGAAACCTTGGCTAATTATTTCAACCGCATGATTCAAAGCATTTGCTTTTTCTGCCCTGTGCACGCAGATACTAGCTTGTAACAGATTCTCCTGTATCTCTGCCTCTTCCTATTTTCAGGATGGAACCAAAGTCTACGGCAGATGTGGAGGGTTCTGTGGAAAGTGTATTCCTCACATGACTACTGGTCTCCCAATTCAAGTAATATGAACATTCAGAAGTGGGAAGTGAGTCCCAAAGAGGAGACATTCTCTGGAAACTGCAAATAGCTGGTGCTTGTTTCTTTACCCTTCCCTTCCTGAGATTTCCATGTCTAAAATGTCTGTGCCTTTTTTTCAGGGCGCTCATCAGGAAGTCACATCACTGCTTAATTTTTCAAGGGCTTCAAAATAAACTGAACGATATGTGATTCTAATCTGGATCCTTAAAAGGATATAGTAATTTATGGTAGGGTATACAGGGATGCTTGAATTATACCAAGATAATATTGCTGTTAACAGCTTGGACTGGACCACAATTACCTTATGCCTATAAACACACATGTAAATCTCTGCTCTGGTATCCTACTGTACAATGAATGTTTATTCTACTTGTTAAAATGGAGCAAGTAAAAATTAGGAAAATGAACTTATTTAAAACTGCGATAAACATATTGAATCTGTCAGGTGAATAGCAAATCAATAGTCACATCAAAAAAGTACATAGCCATTATACTTTCTACTGATACAGCTTAGATACTTTGTTTTATGTTTCCTTTAATTTTTAATTGTGCATTATGGTGCTTGAAAAAAATCATCCTAAAATATGGTATAATTTTGTATTTAAAATATATGCTTTGGTTAAATACTAAATATGAAATTTTGTGGGAATAATACAGAAGAAGATATGATATAGTAGAATTTGACTTAAAACACCTACCTCTAATTTGATTGTACTTATAAGAGAAATACATTGTTTTTATAATGTGTATATTCTATCATGTCTTTATAGATCTTATATATGTATATGTCTACTCTTAAAAAATTAATTTTCTCACAGTTAAGTACTGTATTTTATTAATCAAGTAGAAAAGTAAGAATTATTGACATGTTGAAGATCCTATTTTGGTAAACATAAAATTATGTTTACATTTGCAAAATTTTTATTAGAGACGTTCAAGTTATTTCATATCTGAGGTATCTCAAAGCCAGAACATAAAAGATAGTATAAAAATTAACTATTCATGGACAAATTCTCAGGTATCAAGAGATTTTTTTCAGGTGAATAATTTGTGTATTATATAATAATGTGATTTTAAAAGAATCATAGACAAATAATATTTTTCTATGGCAACCTACTTTATAAACCAAGAAAACTGAATCTACTAATAGATTTTTGCCAGTAAATAGTAGTGTACTAGTTTTGCCCACAAAGTTTTTCTTTTTCAAAGATTTATTAGGGGTATATTGTACCATATAAGGTACTAAAGCAATTTTGTGCCAATGTGGTTAGATAAACATTTAGGGATCTCTGTATCAGAAAAGAAGTATTTTGCACTATGTGCCTGAAACCAGTTACAAACATTATTACAAAATGTGTAACATTTTCTAGAAATGTTTTTATTCATAAGTAAAATCTTATAATTTATAAACATTTAAGTAATAAACTTGTTTGTGTGATATATTAGGACTTTGTTTTCATTTTCCTTTCAGGTTAAAAAAAAAAAAATTCTTCACCAAAAAGTCTATAACTCTAAAATCACTACAGAAATTCTTAAAAGATTTTATCCAAATTGTTGCAGCTGGGATGGAAACAGCTCCTATCCAGTGTATACCCTTCTCACGGAAATAATGGGCAGGAGGCTGACAAAAATTTGCAATGACTTCAAAAGCTTCTGTTCATAGAAGGGGTACACATGTATACTCATATTCAATTGGTCAACTTAAATCGCATGACCAAATCCTAGTCAATGGGGCAGGGAAATATACTACCTCTACAAGTGCAGGATGGCCAGACATATGGAAATGAGTGAGGACTCACAATCCTCTCCCAAGGGAGGGAGTAGATCCTTTTGAGCAATAATATGTTTCATCCATCCATCTTAAACTTCCCTAGAAATTGCCAAATTACTACTTTCTAAAGGGGTTAAATCAAGTTAAATTACCACTGGCAGGGTGTAAAAAGTTTAGAGTATCCACATCCTCAGTGACATGTGAAATTTTTTTCTGATCTTATGGGGCAGAGCATAGTATTTCATTGTTTGAATTTATATTTATTTAATTACTAGGTTGGATGAAGATCCTTTCATATATTTTTTGCTATTAGGTTCCTTTTTCTGAGAATTGCTTTTTTATTTTTTGTTCACTTTACCTCTCCTGTCCTCCACCTTTCCTGCCTTTCCCCACCCTCTAAACTCCACCCCCCAATAAAAAAAACAAAAAAGGAAAGAAACAAACATATAAGGGAGTCAGTTTTATGTGAATGTGATTTAAAACATTTGAGGATCTCTTATCACAAAGCATGCTTTTTGCACTGTACCTTAGTTACAAATATTACTATGCAGTGTATAGTAGTTTTCTATACCTGTTTATCATTTAAAGTGAAGCACCCTCTACATCTATTTTATCTATTTTGCTACTCCTTAAGGGGAAAAGCTTTCCCTGATCATATCAAAGGCCAGTCTGCCCATCTCTACTCTTGATTTCCTCCCACTCTGAATTACCCAAGACCTTTCTCCGCAGATTATTCTCTCTCCTTTTCCTTTCTCTCTCTACTGGCTCCTTTTTTTCATCCAGAAACCGTGTTCACCTCTCTTATATTTTAAAACAAAAATATGTCCTCCTCTGCCACCCCTATTCACTCTCTCTTCCTTTCACTGTCAAACTTCCTAAGAGAAACAGCTATCCTCCTGATCTCTTCATCTTTACCTTTCATTCAAGCGTTCCATTATAACGTGGTTTCCAGCCCTCAATATTTCATCGATACTACTTTCGCTAAAATCACAAATGAATTCCTAATTGCCAAGCACAATTATATATTTTGAGTTCTTTTCCTTTTGATGTCTGAATAGCGTTTGGCAAGGGTGAGGGAGAGTTCCATGAAATATTATGACAATAGCTGAAAGTATTGTCTATCATGGTACATATTTATGTGCACTTGAAAATAATGTGTATTCTGCAGTAATTTTGTATAGGTTTTATGTAAGTAAATTATGTCAAGTTAGTTTTTCATATTATTCAAATATTTTCTGTATCTTTTTTTCTAATTGCAGTATCAGTTACTGAGGGATACAGTTTTTCTAATTGTAGTGTCAGTTATTATAGTAGTGTTATAACTGTAGAGTATTAATATTTAATAACTATAGTGTCCATTATTATTATATATTATATTATATATTAAGATATTTTTCTAATTGTAGAGTCAATTTTTTAAAATTATATTACTGAAAATGATCACTTATTGATTAAATTATTCTATTCTATTAATAGGATGTTAATATTAATATTCTATTAGTCTTACAAATGTTAAATTCTTCAAATACAATTGTGAATTTGTCTATTTCTCCTTTTAATTCTGCCAGATTTTTTCATGAATTTAGAAACTCTGTTATTAGGTACATACATGTTTATGAGTGTTATGTCTTTTCAATGAATTGACCCTCTTTATGAAATATTCCTATATCTCTAGTGATACTTATTGCCTTAAAGTCTACATTGGTATTAAAAAAACTCTCAACTTTCTTTTAATTAGTGTTTGCATGATATATCTTTTGCCATCCTTTATTTTTAACCAGCATATATCTTTAAATTTTCTTTTATAAATAGCATAGAATTGTTCTGTGTTTTTTCATTTTTCAATCCAGTTCAGCAATCTGTTTTTTTCCTGAAGAATTTAAGACCATTTACAATTAATGCAATTATTGATATGGTTGGATTTAAGTCTACCTTCTTGTTATTTGTCTTTTATTTGTCTCATACATTCTTTCTTCCATTGTTCCTCCTTTTCTGCCTTCTTTTGAGTTGTTTAGTTTTGTATTCAATTTTATATTCTCTTTTTATGTTGGCTTCTTTTATTTTTTTAACGTTTGCCCCAGGGATTAACCTATCTTATCCCACACTTTCTCTACCTTACATAAGATTATTTCACATTATTCTACACCTTAAATGCTTACATTTCTCTCAAGTATTAGCTCAATATGACCTCCTCCATCAAGATTTTTGTGGACCATTCTGCCAGGAACACTTTATTTTTAATTTCTCATGTATTCTATTCCTTTCTTACATCACTTATTATTTATACTTAGTATTTGATTAGGGTTTTGAACACTCACTCTATCTGCTCTCCAAGACAGTTATTTGAGTGAAAACTGACACTGGCTTAGCCACTATTTTGTGCTTGATATTGAGAGATTAAATTAGATATGGATACTTTACTCCTTATCTAATTTAATCTTTACAACAATCTTATGAAACCTCACCATTTTACACATCATTTTATGTAACAGCAGAAACATTTAGCATAGTACATATATGTCCATACATAAAACCTTTCTTTTTATTCTACTGTATTCTTTGCTTAAGAACAGAAACTATGTTTATTCTCTTCTGAATCCCTCACAGCAACTATCAGAGTGTTGAATATAGCATAGATTTAATATTTTCTTGTCAATTAATTAAAATATTCAGCAATTCAAATCCACATGAAAATATATGAAAAAATCTATTTGAACTATAATTTACAGATTTTTGGTGGGATTGATGTTTTAAAAAAAGTGAAGAGTCATTCCAAAAATATGTTCAGGAAGATACAGGGATTCCAGGAGTGATCAATCATGTTCCACTGTGGAATTTGGGAGGCCAGCCTAGAAGTAACCAATAGCCATCATATTTTTTCTCATGGAATAGGCCATGTAGGTCTGCTTTAATTTATATATTTTAAATTATTTTAAAAATACTTAACACTATGAATATTGATGGAAATATAAGAGAGTAACATAATTAACAGTCAATTTTGTAGTAACAGCTTATTCCCCATTGAGTGTAGGCTTGAGAAATACAAAACTATTTTTATAATGTCTCAATAGTAACAAAAAGGAATAGAATTGATGTTTTATTTTACTCTTCCTCGATGTCACTCATCAGGTAGGCTATATCTTGGCTATTAAATATAGCTATTAGTCAACATTGGTGATTGCATCAACTTCTAATTTTTAAACATGATTATTCTTTTCAAACATAGAAGACTTACAGTTTTCCTTGTTAATTTTTCTCTAACAAGTTAGCTCATATCTTTTAGCTGACATGTGTCTAATTAAATGTTTTGCTTAAAGGTAAATAATAAGATCCAATTAATGCATTACTTTTGTTACATTTTTTTAAGATAACATGATTATTTTTGTTACACTTATCCTATTTCCTTCTGTAATGACTCATCTCCTTTATTTGAAATGTGAAAAATTATTTACAACTGACAACAGTGGCATCTGCTGGCCACTCTTAACTATTTTGCAGCGTGATAAAGAAAAAATGTCAAATTAATTTTCCTCTGCAATTTTCTGAAGAGCTTGAGAAGCAACTGCTTGCAATGGAGTAGGTGAACAGTCTTTGAGTTCTCTTTAACCCAGTTGAACACTGTTACCTATATCCTTATCAGATCCATATCTGTATCTCTGTCATACAAATATACATGTGTTCTTTTCACTACTTCAATCTGAGAATATTCTTAACAATATAGAATCTTCCTTGGCTTCCAGGAGCCAAAGAAGTTGTTTTTAATGCAATAATTTTTTTGGAGAAACTTTATGCTACAAAAAGAGGAAACTCAGGATGAGAGCAAGGGTTCGGGGACACCTCAGATTTCTAGACCAGGCTCTAATATTAACAAATAGCGTTAACATTAAACTTTAGGTTTGTTTCCTCAGCTGTAAAATAAGGGATTTAAAATAAATAATTTCCAAGGTACTTTTCAACTCTAAACGTTTATATGTATAAATTGTGTCTGGTGCCTTAGTTGGCAGTTTATTCAGTTTGCATTTATCTGACTATACCTTCATATTTTTAAACTTCATCTATAAAAATTTACAGAATTAAAACTTACAAAAACCTGCAAGAATAGTACAAGTAGCTATCATATGTCCTTCAGCTGGATTCACTAATTTTTAACATTTTACCACGTTTGTTATATAAATAAAACTATTTGACATTTAATTGTGAGTAAAAAACACAGTTCTAGAAGGGGGTAGATCACTATTCTTTCACTTTTACTACACAGAAGCTGTTCAGTTTATGAAACAAAGCAAAGATAGGTTCTGTTCACAGTGTTTCATAGTTAAGAAGACCTGAGTTTTTAAGGTACTCTGCCATTTTGTATCTTTCCGGTGTCATAACAAAACACATAATCTCAACCTCAGTATTGTAAATTGTAAAATGGATAGAAGAAAAATTGCATTGCTTGCCCTCCTAACATAAAAATTGTGAGAGTAAATGAGTTTATGTTTGTGAATATCTTTGAATGGTAGAAAGTGCCAAATTAGCTACATTCCCTCATTTTAAATACAGAAAATAGCCTCGAAAGCACTATAGTGAGTAGACGGCAGGTTCTGAGGGGCTACACTCCAGTTCTGCTGCTTATGTAAGCTCTGTGACCTTGGGAAAATCACTACATCTTC